CCTGTGGTCTCAGCTACTTGGGAGGCTGAGGCAGGAGACTCGCTTGAGCCCAGGAGTTGGAGGTTGCTGTGAGCTGTGATGCCATGGCACTCTACCCAGGCGAATAGCTTGAGGCTCTGTCTCAAAAAAAAAAAAGATGCACAAAGATTTTGAAAAGAGATTCATTATGGTTGAAGTAATGAAATATGAAGATTTTAAAGAAAAAAGTTCTGAAAATTCAATCCAGACTCCTAAACAGTAAAGATAACAAGGCACACATTATATTGTTCAAGATGGAAATAATATCTTCTTCAAATATAATACACCTCAACAATAAAAGAAGAAATATATCTTAGTTATTGCTCAGAAAAATATGCAACTTCCAAAAGGCATATAATTTTTTAAAATTTAAATTTCTGAAATCTGAAGGGAAATATGAAGATGGAGAGACAGGAATCTTCTACAAACTTTTTGTTTTAAAATTAAAATACCATGTACCTCTAATTAAATGCAAGTTCAATAAACATGAACAGCTTTGCTTTTTACATTATTAAAACACTACTCTAAAATGGAGAGTTTTTCCAGGAAACATATTGCTCTCATTCTTCATTAATCTCCATCATGTATGCCAAGCCTAACATGTTTGATAGTGAGGTCAATGTGGCTCGCTCCTTTTTGAATCTACAGATAATGCATGTTTTACAGTACTCCAGATGTCTATACTCAATAAAACATTTTCCAAAACAAAACAAAAGGTTAGTTTAAAGCCTTGTTCCTCAAATTAAGATACAAGTATACTCAGGAATGCTGTGCCAGAAAGCAAGAATGTGATTCTGAAGAAGAGTGTTCATGTGATTCTGGTGCCCCTAAATTCCTCTTTAAAATCTTTATATTTTATTACTTCAGCCATAATGAATCCCTTTTCAAAATCTTTGTGCAACCAAGCCCCAAACCTCCAATACATGATTGTCTTGAAATGACCCACCCTACCTGAATATTGCATAAATGTCCTTCCATGCTTGAATTCCCCCTAACTCCCCTGGGCAGATTTAGGCATTTCTTTCTCCTTGCTCCCAAGTCTTATCACTGTTGTTCTTTCTCAGAACTATACTATAAACTCGTCATGGACAAGGGTTTTGCCTTTTCATCTTTGCATTTCCAGTACCCACGATAGTGAGTTTCCTTCCATCCTTCTGACCATCTACTTGTGTACTGCCTTGTTTCAGAAAGGATTCATGTTATCTCAATACTTTGCAGACAAAAGGCATTCAAAAATATTTATAAATTAATAAGTGAATGAAAGCATGTTTTTGGAATACTGGCAGAGTTGCTGCACATCAGAAGGGAGTCAGTGCTGGTGCAGGGCCACAAAAGCCCCTTGTTACAAAGGGTGGGGCACAGGTATAGCTGCACAAGTTCCTGACGACAAAGGATCATCCTGGATGTCCCTTTTGGATCACTTTCAT